GCGTGAGTGTGGAGAGGAATAAAGTGCCTTATTCAATAATTAAAATAATGTAACTCAACGACAGTAAGCTTCAATTGAAAGCTTCGACGTCCATCATTTACTCGGCCTCATGTCGTTCCAAACCACTATGACTTTCTTTACAAACAGCTCTGATTCTTAAACATCAAATCAGCATTATTTTAGTATCACTGAGATAATTTGATAGTTTTATATATATAGATATATATGTGTGTGTGTAATTAATTTTCTTGCATTTTTTCCTATTTTTTTAGTTATATACACACACACTTTATTTCTTATTTTCACTTTTACTTATTTTAGTATGTTAAGCTAAATTTAAATTAAAAATGTTGCATTGTTAATATTTTGAATCAGTTTTTATCATTTTCATTTCAATTTTCAATTGTATGTTTTTGTGTTTTTAGTAGTTTTTTTATATATGTCTATAGTTTTTATTCATTTTTATTTAAGTTTAGACATTTTAGTATGTTAAACTAAAGTAAAAATGAGAAAAATTCCCTTGTTAACTATGTATGATAAAACATTTTATTTTATTTCAAGTAACAATTTTTCCCAATTTTATTTTACAGCACTTCAAGTTAAGCCATTCTTAGAAAAGAAAAAGATTCAAATATTTTTTTCTATAGGTCTATCATAATGCGTGCGGTAGAGGGTTTTAATGGTTTTAATTTTAGTTTTTTAGTGAACTATAATTACCCTGCGTCAAATATTTGCATGTTCTTTATATTTCAAATTCACTTTCATTATATGATAAAGAGCAGCGTGAACTTTGTGCTAAACATCTATTTTTGTGTTCCACCGAAGAACGAACGTCCTGCAGGTTAGTAACAACATGAGGGTGAGTAAATGATTACAGAATGATAATTTTTGGCTGAGCTGTCTCTTTAAGTCAGTGTTGTCTGTGCTGCTGCTGCTGCTGTTGTTGTTGTTGTTGTTGATGATGATGAACCCTCACTAGTGTGCACAATACTTGGTGTTCTGCGTCAGTGCTGTCATTGCCTGCGGCGGCTGATGCACTATTGAACAGGGTTTCCCAGTAGCGGATTCCCTGCATGATCTCACGTTTCTGTTTGCTGTCTCTCTCATGTTCTGTTGAGATTCACCCAATGCTGCATGCACAAAAATAACAACTGAACCCTTCAGATATGTTTCTCTGGTGTCATCAAACCCATTAGACGGACATTATTGAAGATTTATCCCATCATCTGTAACAAATAGCATCAGAAGTGCGTTATGCAATAGAGGATTCTGTTTGAGATCAATTGACAAAAGCAACAGAACAGTCGTGCATTATATTTCTGCTCTTCTGAATTCATGTGATGCTTTGTGTGAGAAACAGACATCAATTTAAGTCTAAAAAAATGGCATTTGGCATCAAATCTTGCACAATGAAACTGTTTTAATGACTGAAAAACATCAATCGATGACTTCTCTTAATGTTGTCTGTGAAAAATGTGCACGCATTATATGTACCGTATAATGAAAGTGAATGAAGAGGGATCTTGTTGAGTTCTGAAAAACACAAAAAATACACAACTTAAGCAGGTAAAAGTAGTGTACTTCCACATTTTACATGGAGGACATTTTTAACATTACCGATTTGTTTATTATCAGCTCTTGTAAGATCAGTGTGATGTTTTTGAGTCATTAAAGGGGTCATATGATGTTGCTAAAAAGAACATTATTTTGTGTATTTGGTGTAATGAAATGTGTTTATGCGGTTTAAGGTTCAAAAAACACATTATTTTCCACATACTGTACATTATTGTTTCTCCTCTATGCCTTCTGGAACAGTGTTGTAAATACAACTTAACCACTGATTTCTAGTCGTGTCCATTTTTGGAAGGCCAAACAGAGTAGTTTCGCTTTCACAACGAAACACAGCGTCACACACGGCGGCCTAGAGTGAGCTGCGGCGGCCTAGAGTGAGCAGAAGCCGGGGCTACAGTGAGGAATGGCCGGACCAAGAGCTTTTTAACACTCCAAAGAGAAAGGAAAAATTGAAATCGCATCATATGACCCCTTTAAATCAATTTTATTTTGTACGATTTTACACCAATCAAATGCCTTTTTTTTTAGATTTTCAATAAATAATGACTTAAATGTGTGTCTATTTCTCACATAAAAGCAACATATTCAGAAGAACTGAAATATAATGCATGTGTCATATGCTGTTATTCTTTTTTTTACATCACCCAGTTAGTTCATTGTGAGCCTGGATCACAAAAGCTGTAATAAGTAGCACACGTATATTTGTAGCAATAGCCAACAATACATTGTATGGGTCAAAATTATCAAATTTTTTCTTTTATGCCAAAAATCAGGATATTAAGTAAAGATCATGTTCCATGAAGATATTTTGTAAATTTCCTACCGTA